CCATGGGAGCTGCATACTCCAGTACAGCCCCATGGGAGCTGCATACTCCAGTACAGCCCCATGGGAGCTGCATACTCCAGTACAGCCCCATGGGAGCTGCATACTCCAGTACAGCCCCATGGTAGCTGCATACTCCAGTACAATCACCACAGGGACCGCACACTCATGCTGGAACACCATTGAAGTGCCTGCTGGAAACCGCGAGTTTATCTGACACGACTCTTACGTTGTCCCAATAATTTTAAAGTTACTGTTTTGTTCCTAAGCAAAATATAAATATGATTGTGATTTCCTGTGGTTTACTCCATGTTCCCATTCGTCATTGAATTGCATTTATTGGGGTTGAATTCTAATTGCCATTTCCTGATGCTTCCTCAAAACTTGATGTGTTTTGCAGTCATTTTCTGTCTGAATTCTCGTCGTCAACATTACGTCATGGCAATCATCGACGTGTGGTCGTCATGAATGTAGCAAAATGAGCTCGTCAGTCACTCTTCAGATGTTGTTTATAACTTGAAGTAACACTCGGGATCTCGAATATTTTATTCTTAAAAACTATAAACTTTTGGTGACGGTTTTAGCTGCATTAAATAAGGTAAAGTGAGCTGAATCCTTAATATGTCAAGACACATTTCAAACCTCACTAATCTTCACATCTTTAGCATTTTTCATCTGTTCACCCTTTAGCATCTTGCATCCATCATCTTCACCCTTCAGCATCTTGCATCCATCATCTTCACCCTTCAGCATCTTGCATCTTGACTCCTCTCTCTTCCCTGTCCCCTCTCCCTCTTTCTCAGGTACTCACCTAATGGTGTGACCGGCCACTTGGACTCGCGATACCATCAAATTGAAAGATAATCCTCACTGCTGCCCAGTTCCTTCCCCTCATCCCCCCTCCTCATCCCTGCCCTCTCCCCTCCTCATCCCTCCCCCCCCTCATCATCCCTCCCCCTCCTCTACCTCCGTCACCCGTTCGAAGTGCCTCCCATTGTCTTTGACACAGAGACCCTCATTGTGTATTCCAGTCACGTGCATCCTTAGGGGTATGGGTAATCCCGGGCCGGGGCATAGTGGCCCCGTGCCCCTTGCTCATGGCCATGCTTCAGGGCTCAGCTGGTACGTGGGGGCATAGCTACCCTGCACCTCTTGTCTATGGAGACCAGGCTCACCATAGCCCGTGCTTCTTGCCCCGCTCCTGTGCCAGGTAAGTTACGGGCTCACCATAGCCCGTGCTACTTGGAACTTGTTCCGAGTAGCTGAATCTATAACAACAATCTTGTCTATGCCCATGTTCCAGGGTCTTATTTGGCCCCCAGGGGCTCAGGGAATGACGCCGGCGCCGGCGAAGGAGTAATCCACATGATAAAAATATCTGCGGTTGAACTTAGGATTAGATCCCATGGTGGTGTCCGTCTTATCCTCACCAGAATTTTGATCCTGCGAGAAATGTTGCAAGGCGCTGTTCCTTTCTGGCGGAGGTGCTTAACCCTTGGTATTAAGGAAGGTGGCGATGATGGGTTGAATGTTGTTGTGGTTGCTCACATCTGTATGGTTGAAGGGCTGTTTGTATCAGTGCAGTGGGCTAGGTATGGGCTTGTTAATATCAGTGGGTGGACACCAGTGATGGGTGATTCACCTGTCCTCCATCTCTGTCCGCTACATCTATCCCCATCCCCACTCTCTCCCTCACTATCCAACTTCCTCATCTTCAATCGCACTCTCTCACCCTCCCCAACACCGACGAAGGCGGCTCCTCTCACCACTATTCACACCAAGCTTCAGGAAGAACAATAGAAATAATTATCTCATTCTCTGGCTAGCCGCCGCTGGAGCCCGGGTGGCCAGGCTGACTTCCTGATGACATTCCTCTCTAGAATCTGTTAGGTGCCTCACTGGAGTCTTCCTGGCCTCCTGGATTCCAGATGAGCTCCCTGGAATTCACTTCAGCTTCCATGGACTCCCGATTAACTCCTTGGGCATCAGGTGAGCTCCCTTGGAGCCCTCTTGAGCTTTTCAGGTGTCTGTGCCCATGTACTGTGGTAGATTGTGTGTGTGCGTGTGTGTGTGTGTGTGTGTGTGTGTGTGTGTGTGTGTGTGTGTGTGTGTGTGTGTGTGTGTGTGTGTGTGTGTGTGTGTGTGTGTGTGCTGCACCCCATCACTAGCAGGGTTATAATGTTTGGATTATCATATATAATTCTGTTTTTCAGTTCAATGTAGTATATATAATAATCCTATTTATCATGTCAATTCAGGATGTTCATTTTTAAGCTGTTCATTTCTCTTCTGGCACTAGTCATCAATACATCAAATATTTACCCTTATACAAATAAAAGTTTTTAAGAACAGACTAAGATAATATTACATGTTTAGTTATACAAAATCGAATACTGAACAATGGAAAGCATTAGGCAGAGATGTGATGGAGGCAGACTCCATACACAGTTTCCAATATAGATATGATAGAGCCCAATAGGCTCAGAGACACTGCACACAGTCTGAAACATTCTCAACCTTCACTAGGCAGGAGGTGAAAAGCTCAGTGTAATTTCGGAGTTTCATCGAATTACACGTGGCAGTTAACACAACATTTCCTACTAGAACGAGGTTAACTGGTGCCCTCTGACCCATATTCCCTCTCTTGAAGGTCATCTGGTGCAGGAAACGATTTGTGTACGAGATTACAGATTTGTTTTAGAAGATGAACTCATACGCAGTGGAAATAATTCAAATAATTTCTGTATTTCTGTAACTTGTCTGCGGGAGGATTCTCATTTAATACATATGCACGCGAATCATATATAGATATATGCTGAAATACACTTAAAAAGTTAATTTGCTGGTAATTAGCTAATAGGAAGGCAGATTCCACTAAATATTTTTGGGTAGCAAACTGTACAGGTTGAATTATAGAGTCATGGTGCCTCCTGTACCTCTGAGCATGTTGGGTCCTGACTCGTCACCACGGCTGAGGTGGTAAATCACTTAATGGCACCATTGAAAGGAGGGCACGACAAGGATGGAGGAGCGCTGCTATAATGTCACTGTCACAGCTTGCTTTGTCATATCTGGCCACTCACAACTAGCCACTGACACAGCTGGCTATAGTTACAGCTGGGCACTGTCATAGATGGCTTTTGTCACATGTGGCTAGCTACAGCTGGCTATTGTTACAGCTGGCTGCTGTCACAGCTGGCTATACAACTGACCATTATTAGGAGTGGTCAGTATGACAAGTGGTAACTGACACTGGTGACTGTCGCCGCCCACTCCTCCCTTCCAGTAACGTGTGATAACGTCACTTACCAGGGAGTGTGAGCACCCAGTGGGCGCCATCTTGATAATCATCTCTCTGATGTAGATGAATTGAAACTGCGATGCCATCACACGTTAATATATACCTATCCCCGCTCCCTCCCCCCCCCCGACCCCCTTCCACTCCCCAACCCACAACTCACTGGTGGTTGTGACAACACAACCATTTAACCACACCTCACAATTGACGCCATCTTGGCACTCCTTACCTCCGGAAGGAGCTTTAAGACATATGAAGCACAGAATATAATGCCATTATTGCATGTACTCATCTGATATTATCTGGCCTACAAGGTGAGGCCTCATATCCCAGCTCATTGTCCTCATATCCCAGCTCATTGTCCTCATATCCCAGCTCATTGTCCTCATATCCCAGCTCATTGTCCTCATATCCTAGCTCCTTGTCCTCATATCCCAGCTCATTGTCCTCATATCCTAGCTCCTTGTCCTCATATCCCAGCTCATTGTCCTCATATCCCAGCTCATTGTCCTCATATCCCAGCTCATTGTCCTCATATCCCAGCTCATTGTCCTCATATCCCAGCTCATTGTCCTCATATCCTAGCTCCTTGTCCTCATATCCCAGCTCCTTGTCCTCATATCCTAGCTCCTTGTCCTCATATCCCAGCTCCTTGTCCTCATATCCTAGCTCCTTGTCCTCATATCCCAGCTCCTTGTCCTCATATCCCAGCTCCTTGTCCTCATATCCTAGTCTCATATGTCCTCCTATCCCAGCTCCTTGTCCTCATATCCCAGCTCCTTGTCCTCATATCCCAGCTCCTTGTCCTCATATCCCAGCTCCTTGTCCTCATATCCTAGCTCCTTGTCCTCATATCCCAGCTCCTTGTCCTCATATCCCAGCTCCTTGTCCTCATATCCCAGCTCCTTGTCCTCATATCCCAGCTCCTTGTCCTCATATCCCAGCTCCTTGTCCTCATATCCCAGCTCCTTGTCCTCATATCCCAGCTCCTTGTCCTCATATCCCAGCTCCTTGTCCTCATATCCCAGCTCCTTGTCCTCATATCCCAGCTCCTTGTCCTCATATCCCAGCTCCTTGTCCTCATATCCTAGCTCCTTGTCCTCATATCCCAGCTCCTTGTCCTCATATCCCAGCTCCTTGTCCTCATATCCCAGCTCCTTGTCCTCATATCCCAGCTCCTTGTCCTCATATCCCAGCTCCTTGTCCTCATATCCTAGCTCCTTGTCCTCATATCCCAGCTCCTTGTCCTCATATCCCAGCTCCTTGTCCTCATATCCCAGCTCCTTGTCCTCATATCCCAGCTCCTTGTCCTCATATCCTAGCTCCTTGTCCTCATATCCCAGCTCCTTGTCCTCATATCCTAGCTCCTTGTCCTCATATCCCAGCTCCTTGTCCTCATATCCCAGCTCATTGTCCTCATATCCCAGCTCCTTGTCCTCATATCCCAGCTCCTTGTCCTCATATCCCAGCTCCTTGTCCTCATATCCTAGCTCCTTGTCCTCATATCCCAGCTCATTGTCCTCATATCCTAGCTCCTTGTCCTCATATCCCAGCTCATTGTCCTCATTCATTAGTGTTTACAACAAATTTCAATTGAGAATAAACTAAGTTCATAGGAATTATTAGTTTTTGAATTTAAATTAGTTGTAGTTTCATAGTTTACCAATTAAGTATGAGGTAGGCTTAATGTAAAATTTACAGAATATTAGTAATTACAAATTTATATTTTATTCACAGGTTGCTGGAGACAACTGTACTGCTGTTAGAAGAGTGAAGACTGAGCAAAGTGGTAATGTACTAATTTCTGGTTCACGTACGGAGACCCTAAGCCAGGAGTCACAAACCAATCTTTGTTTTCTGATAATGATTTACAAAGTCCTTGCAAGTGCACTTAAAAGATCTACTCATTGTGACTTGCTATGTACTGACTGCACCGTGTTGACTTTCAAGTGTTACACGGTTGTGCCAAGGGGATCTTGACTAAGATATAAATATCTTAGACCTGTGGAACTTGTAAACTGTTGAATAACTGTTAAGGAGACGTCAGTGGTCTGTGACTCCTGGTACTGGGAGGGTTACCGTACACCGTTAAGGACGCCGTCGCCTGAACACTGTTCTTATTGCTTTAAGAGTCATACTCTAACCTGTTCTCGCGAGCGTTCCCAACGTCAAGAAACTGTCATACTAAAGTGCCTGATCCTAACCTGTCAGAGGACCCACGAACAGAAAGCGGAACATTACGTCAATTTCGCGAGCCGCTACCATTTTCTAGTACGACAGTTTTTGACCTTGGGTAAAGTCTAAATGCGACGTTGTAGCGCGTCACAGCAAGACCCGTGGAGCTGAGTAACGTTCGTCAAAACATATTTTTTTAAATGGCGCAGATGGCGGCTACCTTTTTCTGTTCTGATCATTTGAAGAGCTCGAACAGTGAGGTGAGAGTGTCTGTTACTGTGCTATATCAATAATATTGCCCTGTAATTTGATATTTATATATAGATAGGTTGATAATATTTGTAATAAACATGATTTATAAAATTCATTATTACAGAATAGCAGACATGAGGGAATTGATTTGAGAATGGTCCAGGACGGACGGAAACGTCGTCGTCCCTTCACTTTTTAGTGTTGTTTGGCCAACATATTTCAGCCACGTTATTGTGACGCCACGTCTGCAGTGGACATGAGGCTCTCCACATAGTTCACAGTCCACAGGTGAGTCGGGACCTGCCTGTGCACCTGGCCTTCCTTGGCACGGTTGCATAGGCACAACGTCACAACATTGACGTTTCATGAATATTGAAATATTATAATTAATGTTAATTCATCAATTTAATGTTGATTATCAATAAATTCATGGAAACAAAAAATTGAGACTAAGTGCAACATTTAGTCACCAAATAAGTAGAAATTCCAGGCAGGTGTTCATAGAAATTGTAAGTGTTTGGTCAATCTTTTTTCGGTGATATTAGAGTAATAGACATCAGTAGTATCAATCTCACCGAAGGTTGCATTAAACAACACAAGCACATGGTTCATTTTGTACAGGTGGAGCTTGATGTAGGGTGAGACTTGCCTGAAGCGGAATAGCCTTGACAGGGGAACCCTTAGCCATAGCTGTCTTCTGGAAGACGTACTGGGTGAAGGTAGGTAGCCTGCTGAAGTTGTATCCGAGCACAGTGTTGGAGTTTGAGATGGCTATCCTTTTCAAACCATTTGGACATCAAATCCATATCCATATCCATATGTTCAGACGGTCGTGTACTATGATGGCTGGGTAACGGGTTGTCTGGGCACAAATGGTAGTTCACAATGGTAATTTGCCAGACTGGAGTGACGTTACAAGGTGGAGTGCCTCAGGGGCAGTTTTGTTCTTGATTTGTATAAACGGTTTAAGATTGAGAGAACGGGAGGGGATTGTAGAGTTCAGGCGGGGGTTATAGAGTCTAGGCGGGGGTTGTAGAGTCCAGGCGGGGGTTGTAGAGTCCAGGCGGGGGTTGTAGAGTCCAGGCGGGGTTTATAGAGTCCTAGCGGGGGTTGTAGAGTCCAGGCGGGGTTGTAGAGTCCAGGCGGGGGTTGTAGAGTCCAGGCGGGGATTGTAGAATCCAGGCGGGGGTTGTAGAGTCCAGGCGGGGGTTATAGAGTCCAGGCGGGGGTTGTAGAGTCCAGGCGGGGGTTGTAGAGTCTAGGCGGGAGTTGTAGAGTCTAGGCGGGAGTTGTAGAGTCCAGGCGGGGGTTGGAGGGTCCAGGACGAGACCTACCTTACAATAAAGAGTAAAAGAGATGTAAGATACATAGAGTAAAGAGCAGGAAGGCGAGACACACCTGGGAAGGAAGGAAGGTGAGTTGCCATCCCTATGCCAACATGAAGGCGAGGCTCAGCTCGCCCAAGTACTCATCTTTGTAATGTAAAAGATGCAATTTTAATTTAAGCTCATAAAAAATACTAGAATCGCCTGAGGATGAGTGCTCTGTACTGAAGCCATTCTTTGGTCCTGTCAGTATGGAACAGACGAAAATATAAGCTGGTTAGAATGATAATTTCCCAATATATAATCACTTAAATTACCTCTGTGGATGAGTGGACGTCTGTTCCACTACATTATATGTAGTGGAACAGACGTGTAGGACAAGAAAAATGTATATATGCTGGCTATCTCTGTAAACGAATGGCCACGTCTGTGGTAGACATTAAACAGAAAATAACAACAATTTGCCTGCACCAACCTAGTAGTTTATATTCTGGTAGTATGAGATAGATTGCAGTTCATCCTTCACCGTCCTATTTCCCCTTTCCCCTCGCTGGCCTCGAGGGACTCCTCTCCCCTGCCTGAAGCCTTTAATTGGACAGGTGAAATACGGTGCCTGCTTCAGGTAATCAGATGAAGGAAAGGTCGCATCGCTGCGAGTGTTTGGGAGTGAGGTGGGGAATTTTGAATTGTATGAGGGAGAGAGAGAGTGAGAGTGGGGTGGGTGAAGGTTGGGAGGGATATGTCGTAGAGAAGGTAGTGTGTGACCTCAGAGTTATGTAGTAGAGAAGAACTTTTTTCTGTATTTAAAATAATATAGACATATTGTTATTATCCATGTTCTTTATTGGTAATGGGATACTTGTGACACGAGAAGCGAAAGATACGAGTGATCTCTTCGTTCTCACAGTGAACCGTTCTCTCTCTCTCTCTCTCTCTCTCTCTCTCTCTCTCTCTCTCTCTCTCTCTCTCTCTCTCTCTCTCTCTCTCTCTCTCTCTCTCTCTCTCTCTCTGTCTCTCTCTCTCTGTCTCTCTCTCTCTCTCTGTCTCTCTCTCTCTCTCTCTCTCTCTCTCTCTCTCTCTCTCTCTCTCTCTCTCTCTCTCTCTCTCTCTCTCTCTCTCTCTCTCTCTCTCTCTCTCTCTCTCTCTCTCTCTCTCTCTCTCTCTCTCTCTCTCTCTCTCTCTCTCTCTCTCTCTCTCTCTCTCTCTCTCTCTCTGTCTCTCTCTCTCTCTCTGTCTCTCTCTCTCTCTCTCTCTCTCTCTCTCTCTCTCTCTCTCTCTCTCTCTCTCTCTCTCTCTCTCTCTCTCTCTCTCTCTCTCTCTCTCTCTCTCTCTCTCTCTCTCTCTCTCTCTTTCTCTCTTTCTCTCTTTCTCTCTCTCTCTCTCTCTCTCTCTCTCTCTCTCTCTCTCTCTCTCTCTCTCTCTCTCTCTCTCTCTCTCTCTCTCTCTCTCTCTCTCTCTCTCTCTCTGGCCATAAGTAGAGGTCATTTAGCTATTACCACCAACACTAAAACCATTTAACACTGGTTCTCCTCTTTTCCCTTCTTCCCTCTACCATCCCTTTTAATACTGGGGCGACACAGGAGGTGAGCATTGCATGGAAGTGTACACAGCTGTTCTCTTGACAAAATGTTTCCTTGGTGCCTTGGGTGAATTCTTGGTTGGGTGCACGAGTCTAGGATGGCGAGATTTTTCCCACTATGGCGGCCATATTTTTAGTGATGGAGGTAACTAGTTAGGCCTCTAGGCCCAATTCGAAGAGTATCGGCTCAAAGTGGCTTTTGAGTGTTGAGTGAGAGTGGCTTTTGAGTTGCAAAGTGGCAAAGTGTTAACCTGGCTTTTGGTGTACTCTCCATGATGTTTTAAAATGGAATCTCTCATAAAAGTATTACATAATGTGAAACAAACGTAAACAGGTAATTAAAACAATTTATTTTTACTAAAACTTTTTGCGTACATCACAAAAAAATCGTCTCTAGACATCAAAGAAACCTTTGGTGAAGAGAACAGCTGAATACACTTCCTTGCCATGGTCATCAGCTGTGTGGCCCTGCCCTGTGGCCCTGCTCTGTTGCCCTGCTCTGTGTCCCTGCCCTGTGGCCCCTGCTCTGTGGCCCCTGCTCTGTTGCCCCTGCTCTGTGTCCCTGATCTATATGGCCCTGCTCTGTGGTCCCTGCTCTGTTGCCCCTGCTCTGTGTCCCTGATCTATATGGCCCTGCTCTGTGGCCCCTGCTCTGTTTCCCCTGCTCTGTGTCCCTGATCTATATGGCCCTGCTCTGTGGCCCCTGCTCAGTGGCCCCTGCTCTGTTTCCCTGCTTTGGGGCCCTGCTCTGCGGCCCTGCTATATTCCTTCTCTTCTTTTCTCTCCCCATTCAGTAATCATCAAGCACAGTCTTTGCTTTATAGAAGCCAGAGAGAGAGAGAGAGCGCGGGAGCAAGGGAGTCAGGGAGGAATGAAGAAGTGTAGGGGTGAAGCAAGACAAAGATAAATAACATAGACAGGTGAGAACAACTAAATTAGAGCACTTGACAGAAATACAAAGTGTTAGTGTGTGTGTGTAGGGTGGGTGACAGTGTGAGGGAGTGGGGAGGGGGGTGTGGGAGGGCGCGTGTGAGGGAGTGGTGTGTGCATAAATACACCCACATATCAGGGAAGTATGTGTGTGTGTACTCACTTATATATACATGTTAGGAAGTTTCATCTGGGCCCCGTTATTCAGTAGCTGGTCGCTTATTACAATGTGTGTGTGTGTGTACTCACATGTTCACCTATTTGTACACACCTTTTTGTGCATGCAGAATCGAACACTAGCTCATGGACCCCGCGTTTCTATCCGCCGGTTGTCTAATGCAGTGACTCCTGACTCCCTCTCATATCTACTTTTAAAGTTTTGAATTGAGTTTACTTCTTCAACCTGCTCCTTTAGTTTATTTCATTTTCCCACTATTCTTACGCTAAAGGAAAACTTTCTAACATCTCTGTAATTCATCTGAGTCTCGTGCTTCCATACGTGCCCTCTTGTTCTATTGGTATTCATTGTGTGTTGCTTCTTGGAGTCTATTTATTTTGTATAAACGCAGGTGAGGAGACGTTTATGTTAGTGTGTCTAATTTCATAACGTAATTATCAAATCCATTAAACTAAAGTAAATAAAGAGCATTTATCTGCATCTGCACTTCAACAGCAGCAGTAAAGTGAGGCATAATAAGATGATATTCGAGGTAACTTCAACTCCTGGTCTCTGCCTTCCTACCAGTTTTCTGATACAATGACTCCCGAATTCCTTGATTTCTAACATATCCAGTTGTGTTTGAAGCTACCTTCTTTACACTGAATGTACACTTAGTTTTCCCTCACATTCGTTAGTGGGTCAAATTTCCATGAATACTGTTTTTAATCAATATTTTCATTACCCATAAATATTTAGTATATATAGATCATGTCCCCTCAAGCGATGCAAAGTTCATCCTCGTTAGCAGCTGTAGGTCACAGCGTCTGGTGTTGGTGTTACAGCAGCTGGTGTACCATGAAGCGAAGAGAAAGCTGCTCACACTCACGTGTGAAGGGTGAAGTGGCTCTTTTCATCATGGTAATTAAGTAGTTCACTTTAATGTTGTTAAAGTTTCCATCAGACTTCATTAGTACTCCCTGTGGAGTAATCATGGCGTGATGGTCTCTCTCTCTCTCTCTCTCTCTCTCTCTCTCTCCTATCTATCTCTCCACATATTTTCACTTCCTCGTCTTGTCAAGTGGTAGGGTTGTGGGCTGTAATGAACACGCACACATTTGTCACTTTGTCAACACCTCATCTTAACCCGTGCCCGAATTCCTGGGACCTGCCTGCCACTCCTGCGTCAATGAGGTCGTTATCCTGGAGGTAACCTGAAGCCTGCGTCGTGGCCTGCAGTCTATCTCTTGACCTGCAGCCTTGCTCCTGACCTGCAGCCTTGCTCTTGACCTGCAGCCTTACTCCTGATCTGTAGCCTGCTTCCTGACCAACTCCTGGTGGGGACAAATTGTGTGAGAACCTTGGCGACTTGTATCAAATTCAAATTAAAAAACTTTGTTCATAAATGTGTGTATATTTATAATTAAGTTAGTGAACTCAACTTATTATTGTTATTATTTCCTTGAAACTCATAATAACAATATAGCACTTAATAATTATGATATTATAGTGTTTAATGTAGATTTAGATTAATTAGCTAGATTTGTCAGTGATATATATAGATAATTACAGTTATGGCTGGACAGGTGTGCGGCAGTCTAAATCAAACTATAAAGTGTTCGCATGATGTTACTAGCAGTTGATTTATAATTTAAAAAGGTTATATATATATATATATATATATATATATATATATATATATATATATATATATATATATATATATATATATATATTTATATATTAGAAAAATGAAGTGTAGGCGCCACCCAGACAAACATATACAAACACGCCTCCCTGTCTCATCCTACCATCGCCGCCCCTTGTCCTTCCCCTTCTCGTCTTACCCTACACCCCTCTAAAACACAAACATACAAACATTCACTCACGTACACACACACACACACACACACACACACACACACACACACAAACACACACTAGATATGATAGAGCTCTAGAAGTTCAGGAATCTGTACACCAGTAGATTGATAGTTGAGAGGCGGGAACAAAAAGCCGAAGCTTAGCCCCCACAAGCACAACTAGGTGAGTACACATCACATTAAGTAGTGATGTAGTGGACGCAGACTTCATACACAGTTTCAAATGTTGATGTGATAGACCCCTCTGGTATCAGTACACCAGCTGATTGGCAGTTGAGAGACGCGACCAAAGAACCCAAACTCAGCCCCCTACCTCCTCAAGCACAATTAGGTTAGTATGAACCCAATGTCTAAGCATTCTCCTGTATATTCAAATACTTGTGAACAAATCATACAAAACAACAAACTTAGCTTCCAAACACACACACACTCATCGTATTGACGTTTGATTCCCTGTTTCACACTTAATTATTTACTGCACCACGCCCCATCATTCCTTTCCCCTCCGCGCAATCTCCCAACCACCTCAACCCCTCCCCTTCCACCCCTAATCCCGAAAAAAGGCGTTTACGCCTTCTCCGAAGACCATTCTCATCAAGAAAGTTTCAAGCACTATCAGGCAAACAATATCTCAATAGTAAGGATTCGATTTACCACAACACACGACAAATCGCCCCCGTGAGCGTCCTTGCTGTGGTACTGCGACTCAACCTATCAGAATCACGGTAGGAAATTCGAGATAACATTTATGTCATTGATAGCATGGAATCCCCCATTCCTGGGTTTCCCAGGTACACGTAGGGAATGCGAAATGTTTCTCCAAACTATCGTCACGGTAAACTGTCTCAGTGACTCGTAACATAGCCACCAACACTTAGTCACATGCAACACGGATGGCTCTGTAAATCAATCCACCCATGCAACAGCGGCTCCCTGCTCACTTGCATATTCCACTACCCAGAGTGGCAAGCAATGCCTCCACGCTTAAGATGGAAATGTTTATTATGCAAGTTGCAATTATAATAATATATTGGTTACTACTCATTTCAAAACAGCCGATTAAACCCAATGCATCTCGAATCAATAGACAGTCATCAGGTAAAATTAACTAAATCACCACAGCTCTCCTACTCGGAATCTTCGACTACAAGGAGTCATAAGAAACGGGTCCCTACCAATGGAAGGGATCTATGGAAATGCAGACGAGGAGTCACAATAACGTGGCTGAAATATGTTGACCAAACCACACACTAGAAAGTGAAGGGACGACGACGTTTCGGTCCGTCCTGGACTATTCTCAAGTCGATTGTGATCATTCTAAAGTGATCTATGGAAATGAAAGCACATTCAGACGAGCCAGAGAGGAAAACACATAACGAGGTTGTTGTGGATGTCAACAACATTCCAGCCAGCACCAGTCAACTACCAACAACTATAAAGCGAGTTTGGAAACAACTATTGGTGGTGGTCCTCCGCCATCATCGGTCTACCACCATCGGTCCACCACCAGCGGTTCACCACCAGCGGTCCACCCAAAACTAGCTCATTTCTCAAGACTGGGTGATTTTTGGCGGGTCCACACCCCACAAAAGCATTTCTTTTATTTGTGAGAGAAAATGCTTCCGTCTTAATTAAACGAGAACTGTGAGAGGGGAGTGGCTGAGCAGGGCGAGAGGGAGAATTCTGAGGAAGGAGAGTTTGGCGAAGAATTGGAAGAGAGAGAGTAGTGAACAGATGAAGGAGAGCGGGAAAAGAACTGGCCATGGGAGAGGAGAGAGTGAGGAAAAGTAGTAAGAGGAGAGAATATTAAGATGATTGTGGAAAAAGGACGGAGATTAGAGAAGAGGAAGAGGGATGGAGGAACAGGAAAGGAATGTAACAGAACAAGCTTTAAAAAATTAAAACAAATGAGAAGTGGTTGGAAAGAGTCTAGAATATATTAATTATAGATCTTAGTTAATTAGTCCACGGAGATAATATTTTTAGTCCTTGGATCTTTGAATTTTCTTATACATTTTTTAAATTGCTGGTGTTTTGGAAGCTTCAAGAGAGAGAGAGAACCACACACCACAGTCACATACTGAACCACATGGCGAGTTTAGCAATGCCACCGACTACTGCTTGACTAAATATTAAACAAAAAATAAAATCAATTATTATATTCTTACATTAGAGTAAAACATTATGCACTGGTTTTAGGAAAATTACAAAAATATTCTACTCGTTGTTCTTTGCCCGTAGCGGCAAAAATAATAAATTTTGAGTATAACATTACAGATCAACCCCCTGCCCCCTCCTTCCCAAAATCGATCCACCTGAATAGTCTCGTGCCGCCCACCACCCTTCCACTGGCTCACAGAGCGCTGTCCCAAGTGCTCGGGGATTGTAGTCTTAGGGGTCCGGGTTCGATTCCCGGCCGAGAGAGAAACGAATGAGCAGTTTCTTTCACTCTGATGCAGCTGTTCATCTAGCAGTAAATAGGTACCTGGAAGTTAGACAGCTGCTACGGGCTGCTTCCTGGATATATATGTTTTTGCGTGTGTTAAAGATAAATAAAAAGACAGAAATATATGTAGTAGATATAATATAAGGTTGATTAGAAAGGCGGGGTCCAAGAGCTAGTAGCTCGATTCTGCAGACACAAATAGTAAATACACACACACACACACACACACACACACTCACACACTCACACACTCACACACACACACACACACACACACACACACACACACACACACACACACACACACACACACACACACACACACGTGCATTAGACGGTGATGTGGAGGCAGTCTCCATACACAGTTTCAAATATAACTATAATAGAGCCCAGTAGGCTCAGGAATCTGTACACCAGTTGAGAGGCGAGACCAAAGAGCCAGAGCTCAACACCCGCAACCACAACTAGATGAGTACACACACACATGTCACAAAGCATAAATATTATACCACTTTCCTCTATCTAATCAACCATCTGCGTTGAACTAAATTCCCTCCCAAACCGCAACCATCACCAAAACCCACCTTCTCCCAACCCACCCCATTCCAAAATCCCTCCTAGCCCCCCACCGCCAGTCTTGCAGGGCGTATTGACATGGAATTGACATAGATTACTGGAATCATGGAATTTTGACGTTTCTAATGTGGGTTACGACTTGTGTCAAATTTACAGTGGCGGCTTTAGGAAGGAGTGAGTAGCGTGTGGAGCAGTAGTATAAAGGGAGCTCCGTCGCACAGTAGAACCCAGGCACGAAGATGTGACTGTGGTGGTGGAGGGGGGGGGGGTGTTTGTACGTCTTGGATCCATACAAGAATCCGCATACGTCTGCGCATTATTCGTATTATTCACACTATACGGATCATGTGAAAGGGGGGGGGGGGGTGAAATTGTGGATGCGTATGTTTGTTTACTCAAGATTTTAAATTGAACTGAGACGTTTTTCTACGCAAGAGAATAAACACGTGTGTGTGTGTGTGTGTTTTACAATCGCTTGTGTAGCCATCCGCCAAGCCAGAAATACAAACACACTAAACTGCAAATGTACACGCAAGTGGTATCCAGTGGACGAAATTAATAATTCGATACACAGTGACACGACATGCACACGCACACAGACACACACTCAGGCACGCACGCGCGCGCACACACACACACACACACACACACACACACACACACACACACACACACACACACACACACACACACACACACACACACACACACACACACATACACTCACATACACACACAGGCACACACACACACAGGCACAGGCACACACACACACACAGGCACACACACACACAGGCACACACACACACAGGCACAGGCACACACACACACACACAGGCACAGGCACACACACACACACACAGGCACACACACACACAGGCACACACACACACAGGCACAGGCACACACACACACAGGAGAAAACTGAGTGCCCAAATGAGCCAGAGAGAGATATTAGAAAGAACTTTTTTAGTGTCAGAGTGGTTGACAAATGGAATGCATTAGGAAGTGATGTGGTGGAGGCTGACTCCATACACAGTTTCAAGTGTAGATATGATAGAGCCCAGTAGGCTCAGGAACCTGTACACCTGTTGATTGACAGTTGAGAGGCGGGACCAAAGAGCCAGAGCTCAACCCCCGCAAACACAACTAGGTGAGTACACAAGCACGTACACAGAGAAATGCATCTAGGATCGTTCCTTAGTTGAGTATACACACATACAGACGTGTCGAAAGGGCGACATCACAGCTGTGTTCACGATATATTTACTATTTGTGTCTGTAGAATCGAGCTATTAGTTCTTGGACCCCGCCTTTCTAACCACTTTATTTTCCTCTTATGTCTACTTCATATATTTCTCTAACACACGCGCCCATACACACACATCCCCAAGAAACAGCCCGTAGCAGCTGTCTTACTCCCAGGTACCTATTTACTGCCAGGTAAACAGGAACGCCAGGGTGAAAGAAACTCTGCCCATTGTATTCTGTTCTTCCGGGGATCGAACCCGGGCCCTTGGGACTACGACCCCAGAGCGCTGTCCACTCAGCCGCGAGGCCCCACTATGTGAGGCCTATTCTGAAGCATGTCGCCCCCACCTGGAACCCTCACCAGAAGAAACATAAAATTAAACCAACTTTCAGAAGCAAGAAACGAGTCTTGTTCCAGAACTATGAAGATTAGGTTTTGAGGAGAGACTGAGGGAGCTGAACATCACCAAACATAGCGAGACGGAATCATGGAGACATAATATTGATATACAAGATTCTCAGAAGAATTTTTAAGGTTACCTTGAGGTTACCTTGAGGTGCTTCCGGGGCTTAGCGTCCCCGCGGCCCGGTCGTCGACCAGGCCTCCTGGTTGCCGGACTGATCAACCAGGCTGTTGGACGCGGCTGCTCGCAGCCTGACGTATGAGTCACAGCCTGGTTAATCAGGTATCCTTTGGAGGAGGTTGATGAAGAGGAAATGTAAAACAAATGTATATGTATAAAACAAATTTATAACATGTATATTCAACAGGAAAGGAAGAGTGGTAGTGATGCTGTAGAGATTGGAATCGAGGGAATTACTAGATGGAGTATAACAGGGATCATTATTATAAGCCATACTGTGCGTCAATGACATAACATATCAAAACATGATATAACTATTCACTGTTTGCTGGTGATGCACAACTGACGATGAATCAATACAGAAGAGGATTGCAGAAAGTTGCTGATGTACCGTCATACTAGAGACATGGCCTAAGAAATGGCTTCCTTTCCCTATTCCTGGTAGTTGTGAGGTGATGTGGTTATGGACAGGAGTCGGACGCCACGGGGACAATGCCACGTAATGAGAAGTAAAATGAAAAAGACGAACTGAAGCACATGGTAACTGGATTCAATCAGCGACGTATGCAACACTGTCACACATTCGCGTAGATTTCAGAAACCTAAACATTGAGCAATACCCATGTTAAACCAGGTGTGTCCACCAGGTGTGTGGGTTGTGTCCACCTGGTGTGTAGGTTGATTGTGTGCAATATCTCATGGTTCGTAGGACGGCTGGTCAGTGGATCAAAACCACCCAGCTACGTGGAAAGGCTCAGAGGAGACATATTCAAGATATACATAGTTTCAGGAGAAGGAATGATAAAATGCACGAAGGTTAGAAGCCATATCCGCTAACTGATTGGCCGTGTCTAGGAGTTGAAGATCTTGCAATCACATACAGGTGAATACATTTAGGCAAGTTACATTTTTACACAATCATTCGTATTTGAACTCACACATACACAATCTGTGGCGCGCACACACTGTACAGAGACAGGTGCCCGCTGTACAGACACAGGTGCACACGGAGTGAATGCAGGAGGCAGGAGGGGTGCAGGGCGCCCCAGGGCACCAGTGGTGTGCCGGGAGTCGATAAATCTCACAGTGTGTTATTTGATACCGTTGGCGACCGGCCGCCATGCTCAGACCGGCTTAAATATTCACACACTTCTAGTTTCTGTGTCCTCGCTGCCACTATGTCATATCCAGGGGGCGTTCTGGGTGTACTTGGCATGCTACTGCCACACTGACTTAGTATATTTCACCCATCATACCCAGGATGGTGTTCTAGGTGTATTTGGCATGCTACACCCACACTGACTTAGTATACTTCACTCATCATACCCAGGATGGCGTTTTGGGTGTACACGGAAAGTTACATCATCACTGACAGTATTCTATACTCTAAGGACTTTTGACACTCAACTCAAATAGTATATCCGCATGTGTAGAATCTTATCTAGAATGGTTACCACACTACATATAGCAATATATATACACTCTACCAAGAGTGTACATTGCACTGCACCCAGAGTGGGTGATGCAGTACACCAGTGTGAGAATTATGACAGGAGAGACAGAGATCTCAACTCCCAGGTACTCTCAGATCTCGGTCTGGGACACACAAAGGAGATAAAGTGACTAACCAAAGCTTGCTGATGACCAAAGTACCAGGAGAGCCCTGGTCTGTGTGTAAGGCTCGCTGGTGTCATGGTGGCACTGTGTTCATGGTGGCACTGTCAGTGTTCATGGTGTTTATGGCTGACACTGTCGGTGTCATGGCTGACATTGTTCGTGTTTGTAGTGTCATAGCTACTGTCAGTGGGGAAAGGAAATGAGGACAGAGAAAAGGGAAGGGGATGGAAAGAGGGAAGATGTGAGAGGAGAGATAGGTGAGGAGAAGAAGGAAGTGGTAAAGGGAAAAAATGGCAGGGAAGGGAGGAAGAGAGGGGGGGTTAGGTGACAGCGGAAAAGAAGAAAGTGGTGAGGGAAGCGAAAGGGTTCATGGTAGAAAGGGAAAGGGAAGAAAACAGGAATGGGTGTAGGATAGAAAGATGATTGGAGCGAAGAAAGGGGTTGTACAAGTTAGAAAGAGTGTGGGAAGTTAAGAGGGAAAGGGCAGGGAAGAGCGGAGGAGAAGGGGCAGGGTAGGGAGTGGATAGAGTAGGCACATTAAGAGACATGACACGAGGAGAGCAGGCAGTGACAAGTGGCCAGACATCAATACCTGGGCGGCGGCCGCTGCTGTCCCCTGCATGCTTGGTCCGCCCGCCTGCAAATTGAGGGTCCCCCTGTTGATGTATCGAGTTTCACGCTCCTCTTTGAACGTCACCGACCCCTTCTCGCGTGTGCACGCGTGTCCGTGCGTGCGTTTATGTCTGTCTTAGGTGCAAGGGAAAAGACAGACAGTAGACAGCATCCCTGTAAGAATAGCAAACTGTAATAAAGTAATCATTACTAATTATATAGCAACCGATATTTGATGTCATCGCTTTCTGCACATTATTCAATTACCCAAAGACTTTTTTCCAGTGGATTTCGGGTGCGCCTCTCTAGCGTCCATTGCTGCAACTGCAGTTGGTAATTAGGAAAGTAATTAAAAACTGAGCTGTAATCATGCAACGAACCAGCTGATGCTGCATTGGCAGTGAAAGACAGAGGAAGATGCTAATTTAAAACATTAAATAAAACTTAAAAAATAATTCTTGCCCACACGCAGCATGAAGAACTGCCAGGGAGTCATATCCACGACCAGCATAGCTAAGGGCCCATATCTAAAGGGCCTGATAGCTGTGCGGACAACGCACTGGACTCGTAATCCTAGGGTCCGGGTTCGATCCTCGGTGATGGCAGAAACAAAATGGGCAGTTTCTTTCACCCTAATGCCCCCTGTTACCTAGCAGTGAATAGGTACCTAGGAGTTAGACAGCTGTTACGGGCTGCTTCTTGGTGGGGTGTGTTTGTGTAGAAAAAAATTTAGTTAGTAACAGTTGATTGAAAGTTGAGAGGCGGGCCGAAAGAGCAGAGCTCAACCCCCGCAAGCACAACTAGGTGAATACAACCAGCATGAATTTCTACCAGAGAATTTTTTGTTAAAATTTGTTAAATGTGTTTAATAAGGATGATGTAAGGTTTTATTTATATTTTGTCTGAATTCTGATCAAACTAGATGGTGACTGTCATGTCACTTACTTGTTTGACATTATAGGGTGAGGGTGCTCGACACTGGTGTTCTGCAAACATTGGAATCTTTGCCTGTTTGACGCGCCATATGCTGAACCAGATTATAGTGTTGAGCAACAACCATCTCCAGTGAAGCACAGATACCAGAGGACCCACTTTTGGGAAGATCCTATGGACGGTGAGAAGGCTTATGCAAGACACACAGTAGATCTTGATTGCTCTTTCTTGCAACATGAGGTGACAATTGTAGAACTGAGACAGTCTATGACTCACATTGTAGTCGTTTCATTAATCCTACAGCAAGGCAGCTGGAATCTGGAAGAAAATGAAATATTAGCGATGGACTGTATTATTCGCTCCATGAATCCAGCCATGTGAGTAATTAGACAAGTTGAAACACTTAGTTTGGTAGAAGCCCTGCCGTTTGTGATTATCAGTGATCATCAGGAAGTTACAGCGTTGATGTTCTACTCAATAGGGGTCAGACAGTCGAACTTAATGGCAATTATATATAAAAGACGAATCACCTCAACGCTACTAGTAAACCAGAGTGTGAGGAACTTCCTTGGAATCTACAGGTAACACTGCTGTCATTGGTGTGAGGTGAGACTAACTAATAACTCACTTCGCCACACTGTCAACTGCGGAGCTTGTCTGTTTACTAATACACAGCATTCTGGAGAAGAAAGATTCTTTTATGATTGTGTTGGCACTAGTGCTTAGGGTGTGTGAGGAAGCCTATAATTAGGGAGGAGATTATTGTGTATTTGTACTGGTGAAGCATACTAGAGTTTATGTAATATTGAATGCTTTGGTCCGCATTGCAGTCAGACCATTAATTGGTTCGATGTAAAGATTCTAGCTAGTAGGATATTCTCAATTCTCTGCGCAATAAATGGGTTTTAAAATTATTGTCCTTTATCATTTATTTATTTTGTATTATTGTCCTTTATCATTTATTTATTTTGTATCATCTATATTTCTGGTTCTTAACGTTAATAATCCCCCGTGCTGTCTGTTGTACCTGTCATTCCCCCTCCCGCTGTTTTGACAGTAAGCAAGCTAGAAGAATTTAGGTCATACTTCTTTAGCGAATTCACGAAAGATTTACAAAACGTTCAACGAAACCTTGGGTGTTGTGAGTGTTTGCGTGGGATGGTGTGGTTTCTGTCCATTAGGGTATTAGTGGGTGTGAGAGGTGTGTGCGTGAGGATGACGGAGGTTGTGGGTGTTGGACGTGGTAAATGGGGTTACTGTAGGTGTGAGTTGAGGGGGCCGTCGGGTGTGTGTGTGTGTGTGGTGGGGGAAGGGGAGGGGGCTCGACCAAGCATAAACATGGGGACCCCAACATGTGTCCATCTCCAAAACACAAAGGGTGGCAACCCAACCCCACTCCAAGGCTTTGTTTATGTTATTCATGACACACCTCACATCAATACACAGGACCTCACATCAATACACAGGACCTCAGATCAATACACTGCACCTCACATCAATACACTGCACCTCACATCAATACACTGCACCTCACATCAATACACTGCACCTCACATCAATACACTGCACCTCACATCAATACACTGCACCTCACATCAATACACTACACCTCACATCAATACACTGCACCTCACATCAATACACTGCACCTCACATCAATACACTGCACCTCACATCAATACACTGCACCTCACATCAATACACTGCACCTCACATCAATACACTGCACCTCGCATCAAAACACTGCACCTCACATCAATACAATGCACCTCGCATCAATACAATGCCCCTCGCCTCAAAACACTGCACCTCACATCAATACAATGCACCTCACATCAATACAATGCCCCTCGCCTCAAAACACTGCACCTCACATCAATACAATGCACCTCACATCAATACAATGCACCACAGCATACCACATTATATCTCACATCAAAATACACTTGACAACCATACTACACTTAGACAAAGCCACACTGTCCAACCATACTACACGTAACCACACTTAACCAAACTACACTTGACAAAACCCCCACCGTACTATACCACATAAAACCACACCACACTACACCATACCATGCACATGGAAATATACCACACCACAAACTGTGCCACACTACATTCCAGTACACTATACCACGCTATTCACCACAACATAGTAGAAGTGAATCACACACAATATATATAAAGTAATAAATATATAAAAAATTTTGAAAAAATATCACTACTTTTGAAGTAGACACCTGTAGCACCACAGAACACCTGTAGCACCACAGAATACCTGTTGTACCACAGAACACACCGTACCCTGGTTTGGTGTTGAGTTAACGACCTGTCAACCGGTGGAGGGTTATTAAGACCACCACAAAAGCTTACTCACCAACACTTTAACACTCAACAACACTAATGTTAACAATGCCTTCAGTGTCTGTATACAGAGAAGAGAATTACACTTCTTGGTGTATATCTTGCTTCATTCCACAGCACTTCACCATATACCAATATCTACATATGTATAAATATCTGCATATGTATTGTTTATGTATACCTGCATGGTTAGCTGTGCCTGTATAGCTATCGGACCCTGTATAATCATCCCTAATTATCTTAACATGTATAGCTAACTGCGTCTATAATTTTCATGGTAAACTTGCCCACTCAATACGCTTCCCCAGAAAAAAGTAAAACGATATTCAGGGGCCAAAATATAGCTCCAGAGATGCTTCTTAACTTACAAGATCAAAGGTGCCCGGATGATATAAGATGGCTGTTTCTTTCCCAAGATGACTACGGAGTGGAAAAATGAGACAGAGTTGCGTTCTATTCTAGGATTAACAACAACAGTTGATATGAGAAGCTGCTGGAGGAAGAATATTGCAAGATCATACAACGAGTTGTATGATCTTGCTGGAGCTATACAAGTCACTTTATGTGCATACATGTAGAGGGGAATACACAACTCTGTATGATCATACATGTATAGAGTGGGATATTTATGCTTCTCAGCATCTGTTCACTGATCAGTACCTGTTTAGTTAACAAGTACAGACACTAGTAATCAGAACATTTTCGCTCACTGCAGTTGTGCAACAAATGCTGAGTGAACTGAAATGAAGTTGAGAAAAGGGCTGTGAAGTGACTGCCTTGAATATTTATCTCGCCGTTCATAATCAGCAGTCTCTTTGGCGAGCAGACACGGCCCAGGCCAGCTGGGTCTAAAAGTGGAGCATCTAATACAGCCGACGTGATTGAACGCGGCACCTCTGATTCTGGCCGTCCAATGTATAACACTCCAGACGGGTCTAAAATCGGCCCATTCTAAAGAGCCTCTCTAAAACAGGAGTCTTGTATAACGATACTCTCTCTCTCTCTCTCTCTCTCTCTCTCTCTCTCTCTCTCTCTCTCTCTCTCTCTCTCTCTCTCTCTCTCTCTCTCTCTCTCTCTCTCTCTCTCTCTCTCCCTTTCTCCCTTTCTCCCTCTCCCTCCGCGTGACCCAACACTAATGACGTCACCGCAAAAAGAGAAAAGACAGCAAGAATATTAAAAAACAGAACAGGAAATCATTGGTTGGAATTCTCGTATGAATTTTCAGTTTAGTTCCAACACCGCACTGTTATTTTCGTTTTCATTGTATTATGATGTTTTGCATGTTTTCAATATATATATTTTTGAGGGACAGATGTTCTTGGCTTGCTCGCTCGCTCGCGCGCGCGCGCACACACACACACACACACACACACATATATATAATATATATATATATATATATATATATATATATATATATATATATATATATATATATATATATATAATATATATATATATATTATATATAATATACATATATATATTATATAATATATATATATTATATATAATATATATATATGTATATATATATATATATATATATATATATATATATATATATATTCCATATATATATATTCCATATATAATTGGGTGGAAAAGAGACCTCAGAGGAAGTCTTGGCCACTAACAGACGCTCCCGCTTGGGCGTTTATCTGCACTCCCTGCGGTCGGGATTGCCGTTCTCGGGTTGGACTTCCCAGCCACAGCAGACGCCCAGGGCACAATTCCATAACCCCACGGGATTGACAGATACCTACTATTCCAATGGGATATAGGTAAATGGAATGGCCACTGAATGCAATAAACATGAAGATCCTGTCTGGTGATAGCGGCATTGATGATGAAAAAAATCAATGACGGCAATGGGATAATGGTGTTGATAGTTGTGGTAGGGGTAATGTTGGTGCTGGTGGCAGTTGTGGTGATAATGGTGGTTGTGGTGGAAGTTGTGACAGTAGAATAATGCTACCAGACCGTATTTTTATCTTTATAAAATAAAATGTGTCCAAGGTTGGATGCTTGGTCCAAGCTCCACCTAACATTGCAGAATAACTCATGGGAGGTAGGGGACTGACGCAGGCTGGTTATCTTGAGATAACCTGGTCGGGGCTGACTCCATCGACCTCATTTTAGAATGGGAGGGGGTTGAGTGAGATAATGAAAAGGGAGAGAGAGAGAGATAGAAAGAGAATGAATGAAGGAGATAGAGGGAAGGGAAGGAGATATAAATAGAGGGAGGGAGAGAGTGAGAGACAAAGCATAAAGAAAGGAGAGAGATATGGAGGGGGAGAGAGTAAGAGACAGAGAATGAAGGCGAGGCAAATACCCGGGCACTGCAGGGTATTCCGTCTAGTATCAAATAAATCCCAAAATGTGAGTAGTAGTGGTTGCCATTAAGGTGGTTGCCATTAAGGTAGTAATAGAATACAAAACACTTTTGGTGAACCTATCCTCTTGAGATGCTGACGTACGAAAAGATGAAAGTCGGATGCCTGAGATGGTGTGCACAGCCTCCCGAGATAGCATCTTTGACATTTGGTGTCTTTAGATGATATCTTGCGGTGATGACAAAGAGCATTATGCTAATTACAGCTACCAGATACTTATCTAAGATGCCCCAGTCTCTTTGTTACGCTTAAGGTGTTTGGCCAGGTGAAGGAGAGGGGAGGGTAAGGGGGGAGGAGAGGTATTGGGCGAGAGAGAGGGCGAGAAGGGACTGGGGGAAAGATTGTGATGGGAGTGGGAGCGTTTATAAGAAGGAATGAGAGTGGAAGGGACAGAGGGAAGGGGGGTTATGGAGAGTGAGGAAGGAGGGTGAGGGTGTATAGATAAACACACAGTGTAGAGAAGAGAGTACTGGAGATAAGGAGTTATAATGTAAGATGACAGTAGTTACGATGTGTAATAGGGAGAGGGAGGGCGATGCAAAGAAGAGAGGA